AACAAGTGATTATTTTAAACAAATAATGCACAAACTCATGTTTCAAGCGAGGCATTTAATAAAAATAAGTTTGGTAGGTTTTATACGAAACGATAAATACACTTTTAAAACGTCAAAGGAGTATGTTGATCAGAAAACTTAAGTTTTGCAGACTGAAATCCAAAAGAAAGGCTCCTAAAGTGTCTCAAGTGGTGTTTGCCCAGCTAGTGTAAAACTCTGAATATGCTACCTGGACAGAAAAGAGAGAACAATTTATGGGGAATAAAAAAACATTCAAGACACTCACTCTACAGTAGTCAACATTTTAAGTGGATCAAAAAAGTAAAAAGTTTTCCTAAGACAAGAACGCATTTTGGTTTTAGTTTTAGGACAACTTTGATAAAAGGTTTTGATCCACTTCAAATGTTCGGTCGGTCACCCGGTTAAACCACTGGTACTAAAACCTTTTTGGTCATGCCTCCTCTTCAAACCTATAAAAAAATCTGCCGCATGTTGACAAAAAAAAATCATGTTCAATGTCAAGTGTAGATCTGTACTTTGTCTTCAGTAAAGCAACTGCAGAGAACCCTGCTTCGCAGAGATAGGACTTGCAGAGCAGAATTTCAACAGTGTTCTGACCTATCAGTGGGAACTCCCTCTCCACACTAAGCCAGAATTCACAAAGTGTTTGTGAAGGGAACTTTAGCCTCATGCTTGAGTCAGACGTCCTCTCAAATGCATAAAAAAAAAAATTTGCTCCCTGAGCTCAAACACTCTGGATAGCACTTTGCTGGCTGGAGAGCCATCTTGCTTCACTGTGAAACAGCACAGCAGTGTGATCGGCTCCTATCTCCTCACAGAGCACGGAAAAAAGTCGTGATTTCAATGGTCTTGTTTTGATGTAGTTCACCGCAATTGACAACTGCAGACAAAACATAATTTAATGTAGGGCTTAACTGCCATGTTGCAAGTGTTTCTCGATGTATAATGCAGTGCGTCCACTGCGCTCTGGGTGCGACTCTCGATGAGCGCCTGTAATACTCCTTGTAATACACCATGGTCTGTGTGGCGTCCATGCAAATTCCCAAGCAGTCCTCCCACGGAATCCCATCCTCTGTCAATTACGAATCTATAATCTTAAAAAGTTCATCAGCTGTTGCTCTTTTTGGGATGTATTTGCAAAACAGAAAATCCTCATTCAGTGACTTAAAATCAACAAATCACACATACACTATTAACAAACTCCTTGTTGCTATCAGTGGCCTCATAGACTCTAATTTTCTCAATGAACTGTCCCTCAATGTCATTTGCAATATCGTGAATTCATCTTGAGATGGTGTCATTAGACACTGGGATAGTCTTTAATTCTGCGACACTCGCCTCATCAAGCATAACTGACACCATATCTATGGCAGTGGGAAGAATCTTCTGTAATGAGATTTCTTGCATTTTGCAACGCGATAGGCAATTTTGTAAGAAGCCAGTTGTGCTTTCACTGTTGCTGTACTGGCTTTTACAAAACGAGTTTGCGGTCCATGATATTGATCAACTTTTCTTTTGAAAAAGTCAAGTGGCTTTTGAACATACAGTTGTGCTCATAAGATTACATACCCCTTGCAGAACATGCAAATATGTTCTTATAATTTGAACTCAATAAGAGGGATCATGAAAATTGCATGTTATTTTTATTTAGTACCCTCCTGAATAAGCCATTTCACATAACAGCTATTTACATATACTCCACAAGACAAAATAATAACCGAATTCATAAAAAATGACCCCATTCAAAAGTTTACATACCCTCGAACCTTAATAATCGGTGTTGTTTCCTGGATGATCCACGATCACGTTTTTCTGTGTTGTGACAGTTGTTTATGAGTCCCTCATTGGTCCTGAGCAGTTCAACTGCCTGCTGTTCTTCAGAAAAATCCTCCAGCTTCTGCACATTCTTTGGTTTTCCAACAGTTTCTGCATATTTGAACCCTTTCCAACATTGACTATGATTCTGAGATCCATCTTTTCACACTGAGGGCAATTGAGGGACTCATACACAGCTATTACAAAAGGTAGAAACATTTACTGATGCTCAAGAAGGCAACACAATGCATTAAAAGCCAGAGGGTGTAAACTTTTGAGCAGGATGATGATGTGTACATTTTTCTTATTTTGTTTAAATATCTTTTTTTCCCATTTGGTTCTGCACTTAAGCTACATAAATACTTAAATGTTTCCCAGAAGACAAAAAAAAAGTACAATTTACCCTGATCATCCAATTCAAAAAGTTTACACCCCCAGCTCTTAATGCATTGTGTTGCCTTCTTGAGCATCAGTAAATGTTTTCACCTTATATAATAGTTATGTATAAATCCCCCAATTGTCCTCCATGTGAAAAGATGGATCTCAAAATCATACAGTCAATGTTGGACAGGGTTCAAATATGCAGAAAATGTTGGAAAACCAAAGAATGTGCAAGAGCTGGAGGATTTTTGGAGAGAGTAATGGATCATCCAGGAAATGACACACAGTATTAAGATTCTGTAGTATTAAGTGTAAACTTTTGAACGGGGTCATTTTTATAAATTCCGTTTTTTTTTTTTTGTCTTGTGGAGAATATATAAACATCTGTTATGTGAAATAGCTTATTCAGGACAATATCAAATAAACAATAACATGCAATTTTCATGATCCCTCTTATTTAGTTAAAATGATTAATATTTGCAAATTCTGCAAGGGGTATGTAATCTTATGAGCACAACTGTAATTCGGATGCATGCTCTCAATGAGTCTTAATTTTGTGGGTTTCATGCTGTCCGCTGCTAGCATTTTAAGGCATAGGACACACATACGCTAACTGGGCAATTGAGAGTGGTAAATGGAAAGCTCAAAACTTTGGAGCAAGAGGCTAAAGTAAAAGAACCTCACTTCAAAAACCTGAACCTAAATGTTTCCGGGGGCTGAGTTTGTTGATCCACAAAGCAATTCAGATACGCAGATGCAGATGCTGGGAATTCCAGTTTTTACTATTCTGAGTGGACAGAACGATCGATAGATCCTCCATGCAATAACAAAACATTTGCTAAGGCCGGTTTAGGTTATACAGGGAGCCACAGAAGATGGACTGGGGGAAGGAGAACAAATGATCACAAGAAAGAGAAAGAAAACGGTTTACATACAAACCATTACAGCCAGATCAAATAGTCAGCCTTTCCAAATTTCTCAAACATTATGACAACCCATATGAGATATTGAGGAACAACTACAAGAATATGCTGGTGTATATTCATACTTCTTTAAGAACATGTTAATGATGCTAAAACCTGTTTTGACAAAAGGCAAGCACAGACAAGTGCAAATTGAGTAAACTGCTGGCTGCTAGAAGCCATGCACACTGTTGAAGTTGAGAAGAACTTTCAGAAAGGCGATTTCAGGTAAGCTAGTGACATCAGGAAATATAAAGGGGCTTAAAGATAGTTGTCAGATTACAGTAGTTGTCGCTTTTATACATAACATCAATTTCTGTGCACTAATGTTGCATTTTCACAGTGTTTATTTTACTGCACTTGAGCTGTGCCCATACAGGTGTACATGCTGACATGCATATAACTTGGGATCAGCGTAATTTTGATCAGTGTTAAATGTCCAACAGAGACAGAAATAAACTGAGAGCAGCAAGTTTGCTCTAATCACTTGTGCAGAAGACTCTCATTTGCAACTACACAACAAGAGTACGACCACAAAGACAGATAATCTGATCATAATTGTGCCAAAGCCTGGTTATATGCACACTGAGGCTTAAGCGGTATCTTACAATTAATTTGCATGATTCTTTTTGGTCTTCAGAAATAGGGCTGGATGACATGAAAAAAATCAATGAAAAAAAACGATCACTTTTTTTCATATCATACAATATCAATATTCATCACGATATTTATTAGCCAGTAATCGTAAAGGAAATGCTTTGCACATGCTTGTTAGACATTGTTTGTTCACAATTAAACTCCACAGAGTAAGTTACCTTTTAATTTAGGGTCCCATCAAATCCATTTATTTTTTCCCTAAATCCTGAATCCTTAAAAATGGTGTCTAAAGAAAAGAATTAATAAAACTTTAACTTTACAAATCAATCTTTTAAAACCAAATGAAAATATAACAAATTCAATTACAACAAGATTTTTTTTTTTTTATCACATAAGATGCAGCACAACATCAATACATTTAAAATTATATATAAAATTACATATATATTTAAACATGGATGAAAAAATATCTTGGCTGCATGCTATTCCTAATATTATAATTATTACTTTTTAGTATGCAACAGCAATATATTTCATAATTTCTTCACATTAAACCACACTTTTATGTTGACACTTTGTGGTGAAGATTGTTAATTTCAGTGTGCATTTGATGCTTTTCTCAAATGTAAATCTGATCAAGTGACTCTCATGGCAGCTCTGGAGATGAAGTGTGTGTGTTCATGTCCTCAGATACTGAAAACACCATTAGCATCCCGTGTATTTGAGTTTGTGTAGTAAACTAAACCAAAGTCCCTTTAAAAGGAGAGTCTGTTCCCTGATGGCCATATTTGAAACGGCTCTGGGCAGCTATTTCGGGCATCCAAGACCAAGTCCTATCTACTTGGCTGGAGAAATCATATAATCTAAAAAACTGCTTGCTAAACTCACATTTGAATCATGCTTCATGTAAGCAACAAAATCTGACATCTGACAAAAACTGTCACAAAAATGCCACTTCATATGCTCAAGTAGCGCTAAAAAAAACATTTATTTCAGGTTTGTCCAGCTAATGGGCATCTGTAGTCCTAAACGTGCATCTCAGGACACTGACTGATCTTGAGCTTATCATCGTATTGACATACACTTTAATCGCGATCTCAATAGGATACTGTTGATCGCCCAGCCCTATTCAGGAGTCATCACTCCTGGATGGAGGTCCCGTAAGTCAGCTACTAAAGCAACAAAGTGACCAACAAGAAAGGAAACCATTTTAAGAACTCTTACTTGGTCCCATTTTCTGGTAGGATTCAGTGTCCTCTTTAAGGTCTTCTACTGGTATCACGTGATCATACGGATCTGGACAACACAACAAGAGGACGCAAGATTAGTGAAAGTAAGGTAGCCTTTTTAGTTGGAGTCTCAATCTTGTACTCAACACCTCTGGAGACAACATAAAATCACTGGTTTTCCCAGTGTGGGTCTTAATAATGACTTCATGTCAGTGGTGTTAGCAGTGTTAAAAACTAGTATTTGGACATTACAAATAGTGTAAGAGTATTTACAAAAGAGAAGTGAAGGGGGGGGGTGATGCTTTTATAATGTATCAATAGCTCCTCAAACACCATCTTAGAAAATTCATCTTTCATTCGGTTTTATTGCTGCTGGAGTTACAACCCATGCTTCATTTGTGAAATAACATAATAAAAGAACAAACGTCAAGTTGTCCTTTATGATTAGAAATAAATGTCAAGATGGTTATACATATTTATCATCAGCTTTTATGGGGATTTTTTTATTTTTTTTTGTAGGATCAAGATCAAGCAAGTTGTGAGAGAAACCGGAGTGTTTTCTTTCTTTCTTTCTTTCTTTTTTTTTTGATTACTGTTCATTAGGAAGGTTTTTGGTCAAAGTTCTATTTACAATGTAAAAACAGCTTACTTCATATTTTCCCCTTTAAATTGTAGCACTGTTTCCCACAAATATTGTACAAGATATGATCTGGAACTTTTTTTCGTTTTCCTTTTTCCACAAAGGATCAGTGCTCAACCTTCAGAAAATGTTGACTTTCAACTGAAATGTAGTATGTTGGAGATAAAACTAAATCAGAAATGCATAAAAAAATAAAAAATAAAATAAATAAATAAAGCTTAAATTATTTGAGGATTGAAGTATTTAAAATAATTTTAAAAAATGTTGTTGTTTTTTTTTGCACATCTTAGATTTTGCCCATGACAAATAAATGAATAAATAAATTGGGACATGTATAAATACATTATCACTCAGTGGTTAACTGTATATTGCCTATAAATTAAAAAAAATAAATAAAACATTTGCTTGATCCTAGTAACAATAATGTGTTTTTTTTGTTTTGTTTTTTTTAAATGGGGGAAAGTAAATACACAATATGTATATCATTTTAATATTGGTCCCACTTTATTTTAAGGTCCAATTCTCGCTATTACCAAACCATTAATTATGATTTTTGCCTCAAGCTCCTAATTTGCGGCTTATTAATAGTTAGTAAGGTAGTTAAGTTTAGGTATTGGGTAGGATTAGGGATGTAGAATATGGTCATATAGAATATGTGCTTTATAAGCACAAATAAACAGCCAATATGGTAATAATAGGCATGCTAACAAGCAACTAGTTAATAGTGAGAATTGTTCCCTATTCTAAAGTTTTACCAATATATATTTATCTAGTACACCAATTATCAGTTTATTAAAAAAAAAAATTTGAATTTGTGCCCATAAAATTAATTAAAATAAGTAACGGGAGATCCATTTGTACTCTATTTGTGGAAAGTGCCTTGAAACATTATTCAGTGATTTAAATGAAGGCTTCTGATTAATTGAACAGCAATCATAAATGCTTGCTGACAAAAAAAAAAAACAGTTTGGATATATTACAAATCAAGTGAATATGCAGCCTTACCATCAACTGCATGGAGGTCTCGGTGCTCCTGAAAACAGCTGTAGTACTTGTATTTTTTTCCACATACGTCACATGTATAGCGGAAAGAACCTGGATTAGAAAACAAAGACTTGTATGAACAGAAACTTAAGATATCATTATGTGATGAGATGTTGGGAAGAACTCTAGTCAGCTTCACCCACTTAATTTAGAAAAATCCAGGACAATTATACAAAAATCTGTCCCATGAATAAATGCTACTCACTATTGATTCCCAGAGATGCTCCTTCTCCAGAAGCAGCAGCCTCGGTCTCTGAACAGCAAGAAACCACACAAAATACACACAAATATATAAACTGGTAACGAAAATTGTCAAATTAGATGATTTTGGTTATAATTTGGATTTCAGTTCAATGATTTCAGTTCAGTTCAGCACTTTTAAGGAAGCATTCGTCACCCAATAATTATTACACTTCCATTCAAAAGTTTTTGAAAAGATATGTTGATGTTATTGAAAGAAATGCATGCTTCTGTCAACCAATGTAACAACCAAAAAGCATAACTTTGTATTGTAAATCAGTGTTTTTTTGTGTTTGTTTTTTAATCTAAGATGGCATTAAGTACAAATGCACTTTATAGTACATTTTGACGTCAAAATTTTAACAATGCGACTGAGATGCTGCTACCCTTTAGGTAGAGAACATCACTGACACCAGAAAATAAGAAGAATAGGTTCAAATTGGCAGAATGTCTGTAAGGTCTGTGAGAAGCACTTTACAAGCTAATAACACCAATGAGACGTGCTGCAGAAAGCATGAGATTAAATTACAACTCAAAATCTTAAAACGCTACATTGCATTAGCTGTTACATTTTGCACATGGAGGATTCTCTGATGAACAGATAGTCTGAATTGTACAGCATTTTTATGAAACAGAAATAGGTATTTATAAATGTCTTCAAAGTCATTTTTAAACAATTAAATGCATTCTAACAGAATAAAAGCATCAATTACAAAAACAAAAAATTGGAATAGTTGTGTATATGCACTACATAATAATACATCCCCTTTATGTACTATATCAGTTATTATTTCAGAACACTAATTTGAATGTCTATCTATCTATCTATCTATCTATCTATCTATCTGTCTGTTTTATTTTTCCTTTTTTCAACAAATGCTCAGTGCTCAAGAAAATGTCAACTGAAATGTAATTTGACCCGTTTTATTTTATTTGAATTTTATATGAGGTTTTATATGATTACTACAAATATACATTTGCAATTTGTGTCAATCTAAAAAAAAAAAAAAAAAAAAAAAACAAAAAAAAAAAACACAGAATCATTCATTAACAATATTTAAGAAAAAAACAATTTATTGATTCAGGAAGTAATTAAACTCATGTTTTCTGAAATGTGGGGAAAAGTACAGTGGCAACAGTGTAATATTTTAGTTTTAGTAATGGGTGACCAATTTGTATCCTATTTGTGGAAAGTGCCTTGAAACACTTATTTAAGGTTCATGAGCCTTAGAACATAAGGATTTGTTAACTGACTGTCCTTTGTTTCTGAATCTGATGTTTGGTGTTACATTTAACCAGACAAGACAATTATATGGAATTGGATTATATGGCGTATTTGTTTGTCTTCATATTATTTCAAAGTGCCCCGTCACAATGCAGCTAAATCAATTTTATTCGCAGTTGTGAATATGAACTGGTTTATGACGCTCAACCCTACAGATATCACAACCAACCCATCCAGATTCATTAGGTCAAGAGCAGGACGCACCTGTGTGAGCTCGGACGTGCGTCTGAAAGCAGTTGTAGTACTTGTACTTTTTGCCACATACTCCACAAATGTAAGAGCCTGTAAGAGAAGAGGGAAAAGTAATTACACCTTCAGGCAGATAACATGCTTTACATTTTATCATAAGCTTTGTGCTCAAAGTTGTGAGTGGTGTTCCTTGGAAAGAGAAGTTAAAAAGATACAAATTAGGGCTGTGCGATTTGGGGGAAAATATCACATTGCGATTTTTTTTGACAGATATTGCGATTGCGATTTGATTTGCGATCGCACAGCCCTAATACAAATGTATTCAAATAAGCATTCTTTCAAATATTTCTACAAATACTCATCTATTAATTATTAATTGTTTACTATTTGAAGTCATGGTAACTATTGATCAAGCAATATATTGCCAAGGCCAATATTTGGCGTTTATCATCACACTGGCAGATGAGTTTTAGGTGGCAGTGAAAGCATTAACATCTCAGAAAAATTTTGTGCTTCGTGACCCTTGAAAAATAAATGAATAAACAAATGGGTGACAAACATAAAACAGTAGATTAGGCAATAAAGCAGGCGGAGACTTCAACTTAACAACTTGTCACTTCCCCCCCCAACATATTAGTACGTACAGATACAGTATGTGACCCTGGACCACACAACCAGTCTTAAGTAGCACAGGTATATTTGTAGCAATAGCCAAAAATACATTGTATGGATCAAAATTATCGATTTTTCTTTTATGACAAAAATCATTAGGATATTAAGTAAAGATCATGTTTCATGAAGATATTTTGTAAATTTCCTACCGTAAATATATAAAAACTTAATTTTTGATTAGTAATATGCATAGCTAAG